ATTATCTCTAATAATACTATCGCCTAAGGCTAGAGTTAAGGCTAGAAAGTAGCTAGAGACCTCTAAATACCCGCGTTATAAGTCCCTAGTCCCCTCGTCCGACGATAGGGTTACTTTTATTAAGAGTAAGCCTCTTATAGCCCGAGGTAGGTTAATTATATACCCTACCCTTATATTTATACTAGTATAAACTAATGTTAATAATACCTAGCCCGCTATATTACTATCTTAGCTTAATCTATATAATCTAGATAAGTATTAAAATAGTAGAAGAATCTAAGCTTAGCTAACTTATCGCCCTTTATATCGTTAATCCTAATCTATATACTACTTACTAATAACGTCTTTATTTTATAGGTACGATACTATAAGTATTATCGCGAGACCCTAGCTATACTTACCTATATAAATTATAAGTAGTAGTAATTAAGCGCTTATATATAGTAGTTTTATAAGAAGTTAGTCTAAGATTTAGCCGAGTAGCCTTCTAATATTAAGGTTAAGATATAGGATAGTATTAAATAGCCTAGAGTAGAGATATAGAAGTAAGTAGGCGAGTTATATATATTTTCTATCTATATATCCTATCTAATCTTTATTATTTAAAATAATTAATTTATATATATATTCTATTAGTCTAATATTATAATATCTAGTATACTAATAGTCTATCTTATATCCTTATTATATTATATCCGGCCTAGAGAGCCTAATATTAATTAATCTAGCCCTCTATACTAGCCCTAATTATCTAAATCTTTTTATTCGTTATTATCCTTATTATTTATATTCTTATTATTAGTCTCTATCCTTTCTATAAGTAACTTAACGGCGTTCTATAGCTTAGTTATATACTATTATTATCGCTCGGTACTAGTTATTATAGTCTTTAATTAGGTTAATGTATTATTAATTATTAATTTAATTAAGTTATCTAAGGTAGTAAGATTATTAATTAATTACTCTATCCCGTTAATACTCTATATAATATCCTATAGTATCTTATACCGCCCTATCCTAGTCGGCTTCGACTTAGCGACTTAGGATTTACTCGCCTTCTTCCCGGCCTTACTTAATATATCTTATATAAGCTTCTTTCTTTTAGTCTTATTACTCTTTCTAGTCTTTCTAATCCTACCCCTATTTTTATTAGTCTTTATAATATCTTTAGTAGTCTTCTTACTTTTTACTAGCCGCTTCGTAGTAGTAGTAGTATTACTACTTTTATTATTATTATTATTATTATTATTATTATCTTTCTTACTCTCGCTAAAGGCTTTAAGGCCCTCGGCTATCTTTCCTATATAGCGTTAACTTATTATTCTTTTCTAGTACTAGCTATATTACTTACTAAGTCTATATCGAGTACCCTAATTATTCTAATAATAATTAGTATAGGCGCTTTTTAGCTCGCTTTTAATAATTATATATATAAGAAACGGACTATTCTTCTTCTAGTAATAATTATATATCTTTTTTATATTATCTCTAATAATATAGCTTATTAATATTTTTATATTTATTATAGACTTTTAAGCTTTTATAAAAAGGTCTACTACTAGTATTTTCTATATATAAGATTTTTATTTAATAATTAGTTATTAGAGTATTTATATTATTATCCTATTTATAAGATCTTTACTATCTAGACTAATTTATTTATATTTTATAATTAGCTTCGCCTATTATATTAGCTTTATATCCTTATCTTTATTATTAGCGATAATCGGAGGGATCGCTATATTATTAATTATTATACCTCTATTTTTATCCCTATCTCTAACTCTATCTTCTTTTATTATAGGCTTAGGTATAGGTTTAGCTCCTATTATAAGCCTAGCTACTCTTTTTTTATAGATCTAGCTTCTTTTATAGGTCTAGCTCCTCCTTCTATTCTTATTTATAATCTATTAGCGGTTAAACTCGTTACTATATATTACTTAAGAGACTACTTACTAGCTAGATTAATAGTCTTAAAAGCTATTAGTATTTTTAGATTATTTATTTTATAATCGGATAATATAGATTCTTTATTAGAGGGCGATCCTAATTTATTCTTAACGAGGGTATTTCCTAATCTTAATCTTTTTTATTATATACTTAATATATATAGAGAAATCTAATTATAAGAGACGTAACCTCTTTTATATCTTCTCCGGCTAGATTTACTAAATTATATAACCCTTTACGCGAGTAGTCTTTATCTTTTAACTAATTCTAGGTATATACTCCGCCTTTTAATTATTAAAGAAATCTATTAGGGACTATAAATATCTTACTATATTCTACTTCCTATTATAGAAGCCCTTTTATTAAGACTTCTGCGTATATATAGATCTAATTTAAGATATATAGCCGATCTTTATTAGCCGTCTAATTATAAAACCTAGGAAATCTTATATAGGCTCTACGCCTAATCCTCTAAAAGAGATATACTAATCGATAGTTAACTAGGGCTAATTATAATTAATAGTAGCTACTAAGGATAAAGGATAGTTTATCCGGGCTTTATTTCTCCTTTCTATATTCTTTAATTATAAATAAACTCTAATTCTATCTATCCCGGCCTAGATCTAATACGCTATAATCGGCGTCCCTTTTATATAGCCCTAATACTACTTACCCGGCCCTATCCGACGTTTATATAGTCTATAGTCCCTAGTATCTATTATTTCGAAAACCGGCCCGCTAATTATAGTCCGGCTATACCCCTATAGTCCTAATACCGCTATCGGCTATCTTCTATAAAATCCGGTATATAAAAACTATGCTATAGGCCCCGAAAAAGAGCCGGCTATAGGCTAGAAAGGCAGCCTACGGGCTATCTTAGCTCAGATCCGCCCCGGATTTGCTTCTACTAAGCTTAGTAAAATATCACCTATATGCGTTTCCACCCCCGGTAGGCGCTTACGGGTAGCTAGTAATCTATATTAGCTTCGAGTTTCTATCGGATAACTATTTCCTAGATTTTAAATCTTACTTCTTTATTATCGTTAAGTATTAGTATATTAGGTATCTTAGTTATCTTCTAGTTAATATTAGCCTCTATAATCGGTACGCTAATATTAGCTATATTTAGGTTCTAAGCGGAAAGAAGACGGAAAGCTAAGTCTCCGCGTTTACGGATTATAAGGTCGCGATAAGCAATCGCTTCGTCGCGTTTAATTATAAGGTTATTAATATTAATCCTTTTATTAAAGAATACTATAATTTTATCTTTTAGTTCTTAGTTCTCTTATTCTAATCGTTAGTATTAATAAATAAGTTCCTAGAATCTCTCCTTCGATAGAGTCTTCCGTAATTACTCGTATATAGAAGATAATCCTTCTCTAGTATTATCGTTATCTTTATTATATTTACTAGTATCTACTAGTCTCTCGGTATATAAGGTCTTCGGCGTTAATATATCGATTATCTAATCGTCGATCTCTTCTTTATTAAGTATAGTAGTAACCGGCTACTTACCGCGATTCGTAGGGTTCCGTTATATCTTAACTATTATAATTAGTTAGATAAAGTTTAGTTCGGGTATCTTAGCTATACGGTACTAAGGAACGGAAAGTAGGTAAGCTAGACCGAGATCTACCGTAATAGAGATCTATATAGTCGTACTACTTATTAGATTTGATTAGTACTTAATATTATATTACCGGCTAGTTCTTTAGCAAAAAGAGTATATTTAATAAGAATATTAAGTACAGAGAGAGAAAAGAAAAGAAAAGAAAAAAAGAAATCTACAAATAGGACTAAAGATATTGTGGGGTAGGGAGTCCTAGGTCAAGGGCGGAAACAATCAGCAGAAATCTCTGCAAGCGGACAAACACGGCAAAACCAACTGAGTAGTCTAAAGGCGGAGTCAATCGGCAGAAACCCTTCCAGATCGTCACAATTAATACGTTTTAACTAACATTCCCCTCGGTCCGAAATTAATTAGACACTATCAGCCACAAGGCTTTTACTCTTATACTCGGCCCTAAGGTAGATTTACGGACCCGCTATATATAGGCGATTATCCATAGAGGGTTTAGGGCGACTAAAACTAAAGGGGCAATAGATCGACGATAGACCGGCCGACTGATATATAATATAATATAACGAATCTGCCGGTCGGCGTAACGGACTAGGGGCAAAAATACCTTATCTCGAGCGTAGTGGCGAGGGCTAAGAGGGAACGGGGTAGGGCGAAGGAAGTAGCGTAGATTGCGCTCTAGGGCTCGAAGGACCGTATAGGACTGGCTGGTTTACGCCGGCGATAACGGGGGGTGGCGGAGCTCGGTGAACCGGATCAATGGCAAAAATGCCTTATCTATAAGGCGCGCATAGGGGGCGGGCCGGGGGGAGAAAGGAGGAGCAGGAGAGGTAGAAAGTTGAAGGGGCGATGGGGAGGACTTTATAGAACCACGTACGGCGACGCACAGGGCGCTATGACGCTAGACCGAAAAGGCCAGCGCTAGGCCTAATAACGTAATTTGCGGAAGTCATTTCAACCATCCGATATGGTGTAGTGGCTAACATCGCCGTCTCTCACACGGCAGCCGGGGGTTCGATTCCCCCTATCGGAGTTTCATTTTTGGATTTTTGTATCTTTATTCAAGAATACTCGTCTAATGTGGTCTTGCAATGAATGTATGTCCTTTTTGGATGTTCTTTTGATATGTCTTTTTAGGTGAATACGAAGACAGTAAAAAAAGAACTTTTTATGTATGTATATATTATATATGTATAACTAGTTAACCTTTGATGTATGAAATTAAGGTAGCCTGGCGTTTTCACTTTTGACCAGTGTTCTATTCCCCGTAAATTGTGACAGATTGTCTATAGAAAGGATAATGATGAATGAATTGAGAATCCCTTATTCCCTACACTTCACTTCCTTACGCTGCAACTCTTTCCCTTCTGAGGTATATCTCCCAACTTTAGGTTCACCGCCTTTGATATCGCGATAGGGGAGCTGCAATCTTGACCCTTGGGCATCCCGAAAGATCTATGGATGTGACGCGATGCCTATTTGCATCGAGTGCTCCTATCCGGTCTCTCACCTGTACAGCGCCTACAGTCGTGCCGATGACCGGTCCCAAGGCAAGGGTGTGCGATTGACGCAATGTCCCCGGTGCCAACGGTTTGCCGACAAATACGTTGAATATGACTTTGTCGTGCTGTTCATTGATTTGGTGCTCATTAAGCCTCAGGTGATTATTGTACACGTTCTCCAGGCATGCGACCTGACTGACATATCTTGAAATAGGTATACCGACATCTCCTCTTCAATCGGCTAGGACAAGACGACAACCAGTTCGATGTGGGTATATTGTCTTAGACAATCGTGAGCCACTTACTGATAAGGTGACCTTTTAGCGGTCCATAATTCGCCTAGGAGTTCTTCTCCTTCTCTTCGACGTCTACCTGACCTGGGCACGCATCGAGAAGGATCCATCCCTCGCAACGACCTTCCTATCACGCGCCCCTATCATTGTCCAATACCTCTTCTTCCTAAGCTTGAATGCAGCCGCAACCCTCGCGCACCACCTCACCGTGCGCCTTCTGGTCTCAATCCTAGTTCCAAAGTCGCGACGATACAGCGGTCCAGACATCGGCAGCAATGCCAACACCAATCCTACCACAAAATCTACAGGAGATGTCACTCCCTTCCCCTCCGGCCCCCCAACGCCAACAATGCATTCCTCGCCATCCGGAGTGCCAGCAACCCCACACGCCCAGAACCCCGCCAACCCTCCCGCAACCCTTTTAAGTCCAACCCATAGCGAGGTCACCCCTTCAACCGACCTCTCCCCACCACCGCAAGGCCCATCAATGGGACCAACACCCCGGCCCGCGCCGCCTCTGCGCCGGACATCAACAGCCCCTCTGCAGAACATCCAGCCCCTACCCCCTCCAACCGCCGCAAGCCCCGCAGCGATCAGCACCGCCCTGCTAGTTAGCAGCTGCGCCAAGCTCTTCCCCATCCTGCTAGTAATCTGGGGCTCTGACGGCAACGGGGGCGTCTCCGACATCCCAGAGCACAGCCAGTCAGCGGCACGGATCCTACCTTCGACGCAGGCGACAACGATGCCGAGCGCGGTGCATCAGAGTCTGTTGGCTACAGCCACAAAAACCTCTTCCCTCCTCTCTGCGAAAACAGCTATATCATCTTCGCCGTTGGATTCGGCATCTTCTTCTTCGTTCCTGGAATCGTGGCTTGCTACCACGGCTTCTATGCTTCGGGATTCTACGCCGACTAGTTATCTGACGGGGCTTTTTGACCTGCTTGCTTCGTTGCTTTCTCTTGGTGTTGTTGATACGCACCTGGTGCTTCTGAGTAATATCGAGGCTTTGTATATCTTGCTTGGCTGTGGGTATCTGCGTGCTGTTGCGGTTGCTGTTGCGGGTCAAATCGCGCGGTGGGCGGTGCAGAGGGTGATTCTTGGTGCTGTGGGGGTTGGCTAATAGAGTAATTCAGATGAATGATTAGATAGTAGATACAAAAATTAATTCAACCTAGCCTTATTAGTGTGCACTTGCTTAAATATATATATATATTTATCCCTAGGTCTAGGTACTCTACAGAGCGGAACTACATTAGTCAAGATCCCCAATTAATACATGTAGACATGGCCATCAGCATGTAGTACTCGACTAGTAAGGTGACCGAAAAGGATATATATAAATGCTTTCCATACAAAAGGAAACCAACCAACTACTAAATAAAACTAGATCAAATCGAAAACATAAAAATAAAACGCTGCCAAGAAAAGGCCATCTAAAAGACAAGCTATACAAAAACATAAAGCAGCTGCGAACCGACACAAGTTCGCAATGCAGGCCAATTCCACAAGTAGGCCGCTACCAAGCCTAAGCACGGAGCAAGAAAAGCAGTTCTTATTCCCATCTAACCCTCGGGATAGGATATGTAAACTTGACTTCATCTTATACTACCCCGTGACAGGATAGCATGAGACGATTGACACAACCGACAATTTCGCGAAAAGTCAGTTGACTGAATTGACAAAACATGAGAAACCAGAAAGGGAAATGCCTTTAATGCGGTACGCGATCAGGTCTCATGTCTGACCGCTTTGGTGCAATGAGGGGGTGCCACTGTGCGAGGAAGACGATTGCTATATTGGATATGTTAGCATCTTTTATGTAGCCCACATACCATAGATATGGATAGATAGACAGAATGTGCAAGAAAACATACCCCACATCAAGTAACAGGAAACGAACGTAAGGATGAGGCTGCTGCGGAAGAGACTGAGGAAAGTAGAGTCAGTATTCTCAAGTGTTTGCAAGTTTCATAGGAATGGCTGTTTGGCTTGACGCGTAGCATGCAAAGAGTGGATCATGGACTCACGTCTGGTTTTCGCCCTTCGGGCTTAGGAACCATGCTGCTGTCGAGAGGGCGATGATGATAACCAGGCCAATGACCATGCTCCAGCTGTCAAAGTTCGTGTTAGCGACTGTAATTTTGTAACTTCATCGACCAAAGCATCGGGAGGTCGAGGGCTGGCAGGATAGATTGAACAATGCGAACACCCGTAACCAGGTAATTATCGACCCATTGGTCGAGGGAGATATTCATTGTTTATTCCATGATCCGAGAGAGGGGAGAGCATACCCGTTTGCCATTTTGTCGGTATTTTGTTATTCTCTTCGTTCGTCGGAGCAAAGTACAACCTAGAGTGGGGATCACTCGGTGTGGTATGCAAATATCGGTGTGGGTGAAGAGCGGACGAGCTAGGGTGAAGAGCGCAGGAGGCTGATCGTTTACTTGATGGTATAGATTCTCTGCACAAGTGCTGTTGAATGCCCGGGTCCTTTGACGGCGCGGGTGGGTGGACAAGTAATCGATTGTTCGGTGCAGCGTGGCACGATTGGGATCGGCTCGATGGTGTTTTGGGTACGTATTCGAGGAACCAAATAGCCGGATATCCTTCTTGGGAAATATGCAGCTGTCAGGTGTGTTGCGAGCTGAAAAAAGCGACCTGGTGAAGTTGGAGTATCTCCGTTGATGTCGGAGCTCCTGGAGCTACCATGCCTGAGGCAGAATTAGCGGGCGGTGGGTCTCCAGGTCAAGGTCCCATATGACATCTATACATCAACGAAGGCTATGCTCCACATTTCCACTACAATATGGCTTTTTATGAGAATATAGATAGGAGGACCGAATTCCAGGTCCAAAAATCCAGACTGAATTATCTGTTGGGTTCGCTCAGCAGAAGCAAGCGGCTTAGATACAAAACACAAGGCCATGGCTCGGAGTAAGAGACAAAATCGAAGCCAGGCAGAAGGATAACAGGATAAACACGGCATACAAAACAACGCTTAAGCGCCCTCACGGATCTTGCGGTAACTAGCCTAAGAAAGAGTTAGATATGAGGAAAATGTAGAACGAGCATCACCGAAACTTACTTCCTGCTCGACCTGCAGAGCATCTACAGTCGGGGCAAGCTCGCTAAGAATCTCATACGACTTCTTGTGGAACTCAAGTTGAGCGGCGATCAGATCGGCCAAGTTGCGCAGGGGCTCGGGGGTATCAAGGACCTGTTGAAGCGATATTAGTACCACAGAAGGGATTTCAGAGTGCCAAACAAGAAGTAAATCAACCAGAACGTACGTTCTTCATCACGCTAACAGCCTCCTCTGTCTGGCCAACAAACTCATCTTCGGCCTGCTCGATCTCCGCACGGGCATCCTCGCTCAAGTTATCCAAGTCGCCGTGGGCACCGGCCTTTTTGCTAGCCTTGATAGAGTCAAGCATCAAGCGCGCGTTCTCAACATTCTTGCGCGCCTTAGCAGCGAACATCAAGTTAGTGTTGAGGGTGGTGTTCCAGCCGGCCAGGAAGCGGGACTGGATCTGAGCATCTTGGGCGAGGCGAGCCTCGCCAACCTGCTCCTCAGCCAGAGCATACTTCTCCAAGGCAGTTGCAAGCGGGTCTTCGCTCTCGGTGCTCTGCGCGAGTGTCTGGGAGCCAGCGAGGGAGGCACGGGCGATCGCGTGGTTGAAGGTCTTGGGTTGGGGTTTTGCGGAAGGCGGGGCTGTCAGGGCAGCTTGTGCCTCAGCGGGAGAGGCTGCCTGGGACAAGAGCTGGACCTTCTCGTTGATAGTACGGCCTAGGTCATTGAAGGACTCGCGGATGTTCGGAGGGTAGTCGTAAGCCTCGTTGGAGTATTGGGAGCTGTTCGCGCGAGGTAGCGCCGGTTAGCGCCAGTGGAGAAAGAGATGAGTGGCGCAGAAACCAACAGGGATTACTCACGTCACCTGCAACAGCTTCTGGTGGACAAGCTTGAGAGCATCGACGCGCTTCTCAAGCTCGATGTATTCATCGGGGAGCTGGGTCTTGTCGTCAGCCTGACCCAGCTGCTCCTTGATCATTTGCTGAGTACGCTGCGCAAAAGGCGTGAAGTTCACACTGTCCGTCAGAAAACCACAAGGCAAGAAGATGTTAGTAAAGCGACCGATCACAAGTCAACGGGGCGGAATGGTATCCGTAGGGTAAGGGGGCTGTGACAGTGGACTCACCTGAAGTTCTTTCCGAATGCCTGCATTCGATCCATGTTTGGTGTATTTTAAACTTTTGATTTAGAAAGAAAAAGGAGGGGAGAATGGAAAGGAATGGATGAGAGTGATGATAGGATATCACCACATGTGCTACGCCGAAGCCTCGACCTTGCACCGCCTCACGCCTCACGTGCGCCACATGTCATCTTATCAGGCACCCATCTAATGAGTTTGTAGCATCTTCCACCGTCCTTTTCTCCATTTCGACTAAGGACCTCCAAATATATGTTAAACTCATGCTGCCTCCTAGGGGCAGTCTCCTGTGAGGATAGAGTGTTAAAATATTAACACTTCAATGTTGTACCTAGGTAGGGATAACCTGCAAATCGACTAAAAAAGATACATAAAAACATCCGGAAATCCCAGAACCACTAGAATTAAATCAAAATCATAAAATCGTAAGTCTCTGCTTCAGAAGAAAAACAAGAAAGCAGTATGGAAATCAGATCAGGTCAGAGTTGCCATCATAGCACGCATGAGACGAGAGCTGGGTTCTAGAGAAGGTTAGAATCATCAAATCGGGATAGTAATCTGCGGCGTCATACCTGAGCGCTCCTGCCTCCGGATCTCAGTAACCTCCGCCTGATTCCCTCTATCGTCAACAATATCTGTTTCGCGTTGCTGAGTGATCTCAATCCCACCCTGCCTCTCCAGACGAAGAAGTCTTGTCTCCTCTTCCAGATCACGAATGTAATCGCTTACGTCGTGGTCGCTCTCCCGTGGACGAACAAGAACCATTGGCCCCGTCCGAACGGTATCGGATGCTCGTTCCCCGATGTACTGCACGGCAGACGAGAGACGAGGTGCATGATCATGGACTGATACTGCCCGTCGCCGGGAGACTCCATGCACTCGAGGTCTCTCGACAATCTCCTCATATCGGTCTGCATGGTGGCGTGATCGTGACCTATGCCGAGAAGGTGATGCTTCCACTATGAGTGCCTGGCTGGTGCGGGGAGAGGCCTCGACACGCAGGTGCTCTGTCGTCACCCGCTCACGTGGCCGTTCCCTCAGGGGAGGAGACGGAGACAGGCCGATGTATTCGGCTGTTCGAGGAAGGCAATTAGTATTACTCTTCCTCAGAAGGACCTGGGAATGCGGATGTGGGTTCTACTCACTTTCCACGGGCGAAGGCCGCCTGAACTCGCGGCTCAAGCTAAGCACTTCGTCGATCTGTTCCTTCGATAATGCCTTTTGGATGACGATCACATTCTCCTACTTAGGTCAGTAGCCGATAACGGTAGGATTAGAACACGGAGCACCCACCTCTTCCTTGAACGGATACCCTAGATCCATGATGGCATGGATATGAGCAAGGTGACGAGGAACACGAGTCTTCCCTTTGCGCGGGTAAGGCTTCTCCTCGCGATGTCTGCGAACAGTACTGCTGGAGCGGCGGCGACGATCAGTCATATCTCGGTCACGGATGTCTCTGAACTCTTCATCGCCATAGTAGTCGGGCTCCGCGATCCTAATATCCTCGTAGACTTCTCGCTCGCGATAACGGCCCGGAGATAAATGGCGACGAGGCGGAGCAACGACAGGCACACGGTGAGCGCGGGGTCTATGGTCTTGAGCCTCAAGGTGTTCCATTTTGCGTCGGGGTATGCGGTCAAAGGTGTCCAAGGACGACTGCCGCCTAATAAGTTGGGGACGTTGGAATGAGGGACTGGCATCACGACGCCGACGCCGGTCATGCGCCACAAGAGACATTGCAGGGGATGGGTGGTCTAGATGATCATCCTCATAGAATCTCCCGCGTGCACGCGCAGGGGGCCATATCGGTCTTCCTCGCGGAGGCGCTCTTCAAAGCGCTCTTCGGTATGGCGGGGTCGTTCGGCCACGGGGGACCCCGTGAATATCGATCGTATCGATCGCGAGAGTCTAGGGTCCCTGTTGACGATCGGTAGTCATCATATCGAGACATTTGGGAGTATCACCGGATTTCACAACAAAAAAGATGGGTGAACCGTGGATGACGCGAGCGGCTGACTTCCGTACCGAGGGTGGGGTTATCGAGGGACCACGGGCGAGAGAGATTGATAGTGACCTCGGGAAACTGATAGAAAGGCAGAGAGAGAGAGAGATGGAACACCTGGGAGGCAAAAGTGAGGGGAAAGGAACAGAAAACAGAAATTAAGAATCAGCCTTGGGAGAAAAGAGAATGTCAAAAAGTACAAAATAGGTAAAACGTCAGGCAGAAGTCGATCGGTGATGACATTGGGTCGGACGGATATTGAATGTGGGGGAGTAACTATGTACGTGTTTCTGCCATGCAGAAACTTAGTAATCGCCGCTGAATGACCGGCTCCACATATTCAAACAGTATAGTATGTACATGGATGGCTATTGCAATTACAACTGGGACCGGTGCCAATGGTACTGCGGCACCAGAAAGCTCAGGCTGCGGCCTCCGCAGTTCTTACTGGCTGCCCATATAAGTCACGAAATGTACCAGAAGAAGGTTCCAACCACGGATTTCGACCAGGAGAAATGGGCTTATAGGCTCAAGGAAGGCTCGACTATACAATCTTAAAGTCTGAAGAGGGGAACCATAATGAATGGAAACAACGAATGGGGTATATAGAAATGGAAAGAATCAACAGCTATTTAATAAGCCCTAGAAATCGCTTCATCCGGTCATAGACGTAGAAACTTGTCGCTACCATAGGGACCATTTTCACGTAGCCAATGGTCAGTCCAACGTAAAATCCCCTTACTCCTCTCTCGAGGTAGATACGTTGGATTGTCTCTAAAATTCCAGACTGAGTACCAACAACACTTGCGACCTGTATTCGCCGTCGAAGAACATCGATTGGGTAGGAAATTGTCTGGGCAACTATCCCAGCGACTGCTCCGCAAGAAAGCTGGGCAACAGCGGTAAGTCGAGTTGATGATATTGCTTCTAGAGTATAGGGTGCAAATGTAGATGAGAGAAGCAAGTCTCTAACTTGATCGTGGGTTAGGAATGACGTCCCGGCATACGGAAGTATACCTAGCATAGTTGGGGCAATTCCCCGATAAAGATGTGACAACCTCCCGTTGCCTCCACCTTCAAAGTAAATTTTTCGAGAAATATCAAGCCAAGATAAAGGATTCGTTTGTACTGTTTCGAAGGCAAGACGAGTACGGATCAACTCAAGAGGGTATGTGACAAGTGTGGATATCGCACCGGCCATACTACCGCACAAAAATCGACGGAACGGTGTTTCCTTCTCAGGGGCTGTAATGATTGCCATTCGGAACTGTTCGTATGCGAGAAAGTTGATGCTAGCATAAGGAAAGACGCGGATTAAGCTTGCCGAGTGCCCTTTGAAAAGCGCAGATATTCCATACTTCGTTTTAATGACTCTGGCAGCCTTAAACAAGCCATTCCAGTGGGCCGAATACTGTACAAATTGAGAATGAGAGGTCTGGAAAAGTATCCTGACCCTATCTAGTGGGGCCACAACAGTTTTTGCCTGGATAACTCCCGTTAGCGATCTTATGCGGGTAGTAAAGGTAGCAAGGCTTACGGCACAACCCGCGATACCTCCGGCTAGTCCATTCCGTAAAATGAAATCCAATTTTCGACTGTTATCATAAACTTTTATTGTTTTCGACGAATCTTCCGGGACTGGGGCATTGACATGTGTGCCACTCATTATTCTCTCGAGAACCAACCGGTAGCTTATAATGACGCGAGAGGAGAATGAAATTCGGGGTCGGCATACGGAGTGAAGTATAACATGAATAGAATCTGTCGAGCGGAGAGGTGGTATTGCGAATGCGTATGGCTGCCATCTAAAAGTGGAGGGGTACACGTGATGGAGCTAGCGTGTTGCATTCCAACCTTGGTTTTATTGACGTAGCTTACTCAGGATGCTCACCCCAATTCCAGCTCAGCCTCAGTGAGCGGCCCTCAGGTGACGATCAGAGCATTCCCAGTGAGCAAAAAGCGGCAAGGTCTGAGCACTAAAACGGAAAGGGAAAGCCAAGAAGTGGCAGAAGAAATCAAGTACGTAGGGAGGTACCTTCCAGGTACCTACCTGCGCCACATCTCTCAACGGGCACTACTGTATGATGCTACTGTATGTTGTGCCTAATGTACATAGATGTACTATGTATGTAGGTAATGGTGCATTGTACACCTCATCCAATCCTAAATCTCCAAATCCGCAATGTCCTCTTCCAAGATTCCCATAGCCCAATGCGCTCGATCTGGCTTTACCGTGACAAATCGACGATCTTCAACCTCCTGTAGCACAGCCTCAGTCTGTGGCGTATACATTAGCATGTATGTTCTCGGCCAAGGATATCCAATCGACATGCTTACCGCACGCTCTTGTTCCCTTTCTCGTTCTCGGTCAGTCTCGAATGACCTTTGATAGGGTGGCCCGCGACCTTGCTTTGCAGCGACTATCCATGATTTCTCACAGCCACCTGCAATAGCATCCGCGGTCTTCCACCCAGTCAGCCGAGATATGTCGCGAAGTTTTGAAATCGTCCAAGTTCGCTGCGTGTGATCATTATATTGCACAGCTGCAAAGAATAGCGGTACGGACATTTCGGTCAACGAAGAACCCAAGTTCGGACTCAAGCTTCCAGCTTCCAGGTTAAAGCGTTGCGGGTAGTAGATACCCGCCATGATCTTTCCAACAATCTGCGCAAATCCGGCTGTCGTTGGAGCAGAGACCCCAGCTGCCATCATGATGGCCGGTGGCATGGAGGGATGAATCCGATTCAGCAGCAAACGCATGGCATAATAGAACCCCCAGATCACGGCGATGGTGTGGGTACGGTACTGAAGCGCAGGACCGAACGGCGTAGAGATTGGGGGCGCTACATCTGCTGGCAAAGGTTGAAAATCGCGCCCCAGTGCCTGTGAGAATGTGTCCATGGCGACCAGGATGTCTTCCCATTCCTGTTCGGCTTCCTTGTAACTCATGCCGTTAGCCGGGTCATCCTCGTCTGGTGACAAACGAGGCTCACGCGGTCTATCTTGGAATCCCGAGGGAAGACGTGGAGGTGGTTGAGGGGGTATCATTCCATACATGGGTGGATTGTCGACCGAGGCCGGTCCAGAGTTTGAAGGAGGCATCCCAGTAGGCTGTGGCATGGACGAGTCCCTGGGGCCCCCTTGAGGCTGTATGTTAGACGTGCCAGATGGAGGCCTAGGCGGCCCCCCCTGGACCGAAGCCGCCAGGTGGTCCGGTTCTTTGACCGGGCGGGCCGCCAGCAAACCGACCCATGAATTTGAACATCTCAGGGCCAGGCCTCCAGTCCACCCCATCTTCCTTCAGGTTTCTCAATTTTCGCTTACGGTCACGGAAGCCAAAGTCTGTGACCCGACCGAGTAGCAGCCACAGATGATCTGCGGAGCCGTAGATGGCATCTAAACGGCCAATACCTGCTCGAGGCGGACATTGACCCCATTGAGAGTAGGGCATTCTGGTTTAACGATAAGTAAATCTGTTGTTTGCTAGTAGCCGTAGGCGTAGACTTACAATAATTTGTTTCCGCCGATAAAACTCTGGAATGCATCTTGCTTTGCATACCACCAGTATAGGTCGCATTGAATCCGGAAGACTTCAATGTCCTTGCGGGTAAAATGCCTTTTGGAGGGTAGCGTACTCTCGTCATTGATACATCCAAAATCGTCATAATTGACTGCTTGTCCCATAATGGCGCCTATGAGATCTTCATCGACGTTACCCTCTTTCTCAGAGAAGGGATCATCCTCAGAGACATCGCCAGACATCCCCCACCACGAGTCCGACCAGCCAGACTGGCGTCGCTGCTCATGAGCTCTACGTCGATGGGCCCGTAGGTCTCTGGTGGTCTTGGCAAAGTCTATCTCTCGGATAAGATGGGTAGACCCACCCAGGTGGTTATTCCATTTCGAGTGATCGGCAGATATCACCTCATAGTAGCCCAGTAGAAGAGTGGCGGCCAAGGTACCAACTTGCTTGCGTCGAAGGGGAAGGCCAACTGCGGAACCAACTCGTTTCAGGGCGTAGTGATAGTGCTTCAATGATACTGTCGTGGGAGCTTGCTGTAAATATGCAATGTGTAAGCTGCTGATAGCAAGTATCGCCTGGAGGAGGGCTGGATGTTCTAAGGCTTTGAGTGCAAGCGTATAAACCCATAGACCCTGTTGTGCAGATGGCACAGCCGCCCCCAGAACAATTGAGGAGTCAGTAGGATGCCGTTCAAAAATAGACAAAGATGGACCAGTCGAGTGAATGAAGTGAGCAAATATGCGGGCGGTCTTTGGGTTGTTTAGGGGAGAAGATCCAAGTGTAGGTCGGTATGAGGCGAGCACATTGGGCTCGTTCAAGTATGTGGTGAAGGAGCGGAGTTGTCGCTCGTCGCGGTTAGCAGAGGCCATGATGAGACTCAACTGGTTGAAGCCTTCGGCCTGCGATTGATCCACCGTCTCATCGTCCGAGTCTACGTCGTAATAATCCTCGCTTTCACCCTCTATATATATCACTTGTGGCTGCTGGGGTATTTCATGGGGTAAAAACTGGTCATGAGGTCGTAATTGCTGCGGGAATTGCCCTGGCGGTGGCTGATAATGGTATATCGTCGGCAACGGCTGGGTCATCTAAGAAATCGTACTCAGTACACCAGCTGCAAGAAACATACATCACGGCAATGCATACCTGAGGAACCGGATTCAGCTGGCTCTCCCTACTTCCCGGCATTGGATTGGGACCTAGTACCGGGGAGAGATTGCCGGCATATTCTTCAGCCGTCTGACCGATGGGATTGGCGACGTGGGCTACGTTTTGTACGCTTGGATGGGGCCTATGTAGAGCGCTCGCCTGGCCCAATTGAACTGACTGCTGCTTCTGTACTTGCGATAAGTCATTTGCATTTGACGGCACCGGTGTGCTCTCCATTTGAACTATCGGCTGAGTGTGCCACATATGAGTTGGTGGCTGCACTTGGGCTGCTGGATAATAGAATGGAGGTGCATTAACCGGCTGTATTTGACTCGACGAAGGTATTTGGGACGGAAACGAGTGGTATCCCATCGCTGCCGGATCAACAGGTCGCGGAGCTAACATTGGATGCTGAGCAGCGGCTGCCGCTTGTTGGGGAGGGAGTTGAGAGCCATAGCCGTCGGGGATCGGCGGCCTCATATGTTGCTGCTCCATCTGCGGATCCGGGCCGTGGCCAGTACTGAAAGATCCAAAGATGCCTATGGGGTTCTTGAACACGACCCGTTGGGCATATCCTTCGCAGATTCGCTTGGATTTCATGCAGTTGGCGCATATTGGCTTCTCTTCGCCACATTTGATCCGGCGCTTCCGACAAGCTAATATAGGGCTTGGTCAACAAGGAAAACTATGTCTAGCGTTCTATAACATACTCAAGCAGCCGGTCTTGGTTCGTTTCTTGGGGAGTCTGCGGGGACCTGACCGTGCGGTTGAGGCTTCCGCAGAAACGTCAGCAGTAAGATCCTCTGGAATATCCAGCTGATCCATCAGCTTGTCAGCCATGGCCTTTGAATGACTCAAGATTGGAGAGTAGACATGTGCAAGGACATCGTGGGGCTAAAAGGCACAACGATCAGATAAGTCAGTAAAAGCTCCAGGGCTGCCAAGGATCGCAGATCACCCGCAATACACTGTGGTTCGTCAAAGGGGGATATGATCACCTACTTATTTGCAAGGGTCTCTCTTAAGTGCACAACCAGACTTCTAGGTGTCCACTGGCATTGAATTTCACAGTTACAAGGGCCTACGAGGTGCTTAGGGGCGTACAGAGTCCACCTGCGCTCTTTGTGCCCCAAAACAAAGTCACAACCATAGGCCTTTAGCCGAGATTTACCCCGTCTACTGCCTAAATGCCTAAGGCACTAATGTGTATGTAATCTGATAGTAAAATTACCGATAACGAAATTTTGATAGGTTTTTTTTTCTGAGATACCGTTTCCTCTACTTCAGAGGCATTGGACATTTACAACCAATCCTTCAAAATTAATCATGTTCGCTGTTCCAGGATGGTCCGTTGAGGGCTCTGCTCTGAAGTCACAGACTCAGGCCGTGCAGCCCAAAAACGAATCCCAGCCGGAGAAGGATGCCCCCAACGCCGATGCGAAGAACAACAAGCGCAAGCGTGCCAATGACCGTGTCACCGCCGGAAATGTGGATGAGATGTACCGCAGGCACATTGAGAAGGGTGGAAAGCGCGGCCCAGAGGGTTCTGTGAAGACAGAGAAGAAGCAGAAGAAGGAAAAGAAGGAGAAGCAGACACCTGAGACAACCACCGCCCAGGAGCCTAGCGAAACTGTCACCACTGCCGACGTAGGCGCAGATCAGGCCGAGGAGACAGCACCAAAGAAAAAGCAACGGAAGAGCAAGAAGAACAAGAACAGCGCCTCAGAGGACAAGATCGAGACAGAGGCTACAACTGCCCCGGCTAAAGAAGCTCTTGCCTCTGCCCCTGCCCCCCGCTGCGCCTGCACTCCCACCAACGGCAAACCTGACCCCTCTCCAGCAGGCTATGCGACAGAAGCTGGTCTCCTCTCGGTTCCGCCACCTGAACGAAACCCTCTACACCACCCCCTCCGAGAAAGCACTCGAGCTGTTCAATACCAACCCTGAGCTGTTCGACGAGTACCATGCCGGATTCGCACGACAGGTCAAGGAGTCCTGGCCCTCCAACCCGGTCGACGACTACATCAAGACCATCCGCACCCGCGGTGCAATCCCGCTCCCAAGACGAGGAAAGCCCCTCAACCCTGCTAAGGGCTACCCGCTCCCCCGTCGTCCTACTGGAGTATGCACGTTCGCCGATCTGGGCTGTGGTGATGCACAGCTCTCGCGCGCCTTGACGCCCTCCGCCAAGAAGCTGAACATCAAGCTCAACAGCTACGATCTGGCAGCGCCCGATCCATTGATCACCAAAGCCGATATCTCGAATCTTCCCTTGGAAGATGGGGCTGCGGATGTGGCTATTTTCTGTCTGAGTCTGATGGGAACCAACTGGGTTTCGTTCGTCGAGGAGGCATGGCGTATTTTGCGCAATGATGGCAAGGGCGAGTGCTGGGTCAGTGAGGTCAAAAGTCGATTTGGCAAGGTCCAACGCAAGAAGTCTCAGATCGGTGCGCAGAAGCCCAGCAGCAAGGCAGACAAAAAGAAGCCCAAGAAGAAGGGCGGTGACGATTCCGAGGATGATGCTGACATCTTTGCTGAGGATGTGCGGCCGTCTGACAATACCGACGAGACTGATATCTCGGCGTTTGTGGAGGTGTTCCAGACTCGTGGATTCATGCTTCGCCGGGAATCCGTGGATAAGTCCAATAAGATGTTCGTGAGAATGGTGTTTGTTAAGCAGGGTGGTGCGCCTACCAAGGGGAAACACGCTTCGGCCCTCAGTGCGCCTGCGCCTGGTAACAAGAAGCGCTTTGTTGACCGCAAGCCTGATTCAGAGTCTGGCTTGTCAGCTGAGCAGGAGGCCAAAGTGCTGAAGCCATGTGTTTATAAGATCCGCTAGACATTGCAAAGGATCTAATTATATGTCATTGTACATAATCAAAATTTACCACGCATTGTCACTACAGGTGTTCATGGACCATCTCTAAATTGCTAGCTACCTGAAATACGACATAGTTAGGCCAGCATGTAAGCGTTGGATGGCATCGTCATTATTTTTCTATTGCTCCCGACATAGATACTAGCCTCCAAATCAAGTCCGAGGAGCCCCTTCAAGAGATATCTTCGACACTAATCGCACTCATTGGTTGCCACCCAGCTGTGTGACAGCCTGGCCCATCTCCTCGTCGTTGTAGATACGGAAACCCTTCTCCTTGGTGACACTGGCCAGCTGGACATTCTTGGAATCAAGCTTCTCCTCCATGACCTGCTTCAGCGTCTTGAGCACCAACGTCTCGGCCTCTGCAAGAGTCAAAGACTTGTGGTATTCATTCTGCAGCTCCGCCTGCGCGCCTTCGCTTCCTGAGCCGATGGCCTTGGCGTCATACCGGTAGAATGTGCCGGACGGTTCGGCGTGGTATCTAGTGAAGAAAAGGAGTCAGTAAATATATCAGATGAAAGGAAACTGCATATCTTACAGTTGGGGCCCGTCCTCGTCATAACCAGCGATTAACAGCGCAACACCAAACGGTCTACTCATGACACTCTCCTCGTCATCGCCGCTCTCACCGAATCGCAGAGCCAAATCGCAAATTGCCTGTGTGGTGCTCTCAACTCGCAGGGGCTCGGCATAGTGGAAGGCGTGATTTTGGCACTCGACGCGGGCGTGCTCAACCAGGTTGCGGGCATCGGCCTGCAGACCGGACATGGCACAACCGATGTGCTGATCAATTTCGACGATCTTCTCGACGGACGACGCTTCGAGAAGTGTGGATGTGACGCGCTTCTCAACACCGAGGATCACACCCTCGGAGGTTGCTACCTAGATGAGTGTCAGAAAAGACGGTCCCATAATCGCATTATCCTTGGTTTTGCGCTCCGATAACAGTACAGAGGTCGCTCGTTGTAGTGTTTCGAGGCCTTTCTTGGAATCGTAGAGCAAAGAGGAACTGAGTGGTATGACATACTCCGATGGCGGTGGAGCCTAGTTTGATAGCTTCAAGAGAGTATTCGACCTGGAACAAACGACCTTCGGGGGAGAAGGTGCTGCGGAGCAAACATTGTCAGGCTGCGGGTCTGTTTAAGGACACGGATTAATCTCGGCGAACGTACTTGATTCCACGGTCTGTCCACAGCTGTTAGTTGATTCCGCGGTGAGGGGAGGCCTTGATGAAGCTTACCATATTCTGATCGTGCAATGAACATGTTGGATTATCTGATGGGACGGGAGAGATTTATCAAAAAGAGAAGCAATAAAACAATATAGAATGACGATGGAGGAGAGAATCACTTGGAAGGGAAGAAGAGCAGAGGTGGGTGTCTGAGTGAAGCTCGGGAAGGGAAGCTCTCGACGTACGCAAGAGGTGAGGTGCCTGTTAATGCCTTGGTGCCTGAGGTGTTCATCTGCCCAAACTAAAAGTGGAGTTGTTTGGATACTTGCATCTTCTCCCCATATACATTGGTTCTGCTATTTTTGTTGCTGAGTCTTCGATTTCGCGCCTTTCACTCTCCTATGTTGCATGATTTACTCGTCGCCCTCGCGGGATTATGTCTGCCAATGACCGCGCCGCGTATATGAGCGCTCCACGACCCCGCGCCGTCTCCAATCGCGTCGATTCCGAAACTCGCGGACCGTCGCCGCTACAAGTCGAAAACAAGGATTCTCTGCGCCACAGCACCTCGAGTCAGAAACACAGAGCATCCCGGGATCAGAAGAGTATGTCCGATAAGCGCTCGGAGCGGATGGTGGTCGCATCACGGGAAAAGGCAGTGCGAAGAAACCCTGTGAACCCTGTTAAGGAATCTATCAGTGCAGCCAACAGAAGCGATTGGGATAAGACCCGGCCGAGGAAGGCTGTTCAACTGGATGACGCAAGACCCAGTTCCCGGACTGGAGAGAAAAACCTGGTTGATTGTGAGTATCCCTGTGTCGCAGTTTGTTGTGGAATGCAATGGATTTGCTGACCATGATCTTTTTTTTCCTTTACAGCCCCATGGAATCCGCAAGCGTCATTGATTCCTCACTCGACAGCTCCTCTCGCATGTCGTGTATCAGTTCCCCCTCTAGCTTCGACGGCCCCACAGGCCCTTCATCCTCGGCCACTTCGAGAGCTCTCACCCGATGCCCAGGAAGCAGCGATCTTGGAGGACTTGTTGTTCGTGTTCATGGGATTTGAAGGTCAATATGTTCACTACGCTAGCTCATATGACCCATCGATCGAAAAAGACCGCCTCACAGGCCCAGTCTTCCAGGTTGCCCCGGGTCTGGATCCGACCCTTCGTGACCTCATTCAGTCCATGTTGAGAATGGCGACGCACTACAGTGCCATGGAAGCATTTGTAGAAATACAAAGCCGCGCTGAGTGTGGCGCTGTTAGTCACTCTCTGTGCGCATCCATTCGAAAACTCCTCAAGGATTACTTGATCCTTATCGCCCAACTGGAAGGCCAGCTGCTGAACAATCCTACATTTACCTTACACCTTCTTCATCTCCACACAATGCCCACCAGCCAATGTCTGGCCCAATTATACTCGATGGGCCAGGAACTGTTGCTCAAAAATGGTCTTCTAGATGAGGAGCTCGAGGAGTCGATTGACGACTTTGATGAGGATGTTGACAATATACTTGAACAACTTAAAGAAGGGGGAGATTTAATACCAGGGTCTATGGCCCGCAAGAAAATCTGCAAAGGAGGCAATATTCTCGGACTCCTGACGGTGCGTCTGGCTTCATTCTCAGGTGATCCAACAACCAAGAATCTGCTTCAGACCTTACTGCGCGACGCCAGTAGGCCCTATATGGCCATGTTGAATGAATGGTTGCACCACGGCGGTATCAGGGATCCCCACGCCGAGTTCCTGGTTAAGGAACAGAAATGGATCAAGCGCGAGAAACTTGAGGAGGACTACACGGACGAGTATTGGGAGAAACGATACACTATTCGAGAGAACGAGGTTCCGCCTCAGCTGAAGAGCGTCCAGGATAAAGTCCTGCTGGCTGGAAAATATCTCAATGTGGTGCGTGAATGTGGTGGTGTCGACGTCAGCAAAGAGGTCAAAGATGTCCCAAAGACGCTCGATGATCCACGCTTCCTGGACAACGTAAATTCCGCCTATACCTATGCCAATGCTTCCTTGTTAAATCTTCTTGTCACAAAAAACTCCCTCACTACTCGATTCCGCTCCCTGAAACACTACTTCTTCCTGGATCGCTCCGATTTCTTTTCCTACTTCCTCGAACTTGGTGCTTCCGAGCTACGAAAACCGGCACGTGTCGTCAACGAGGGCAAGCTCCAGTCACTATTGGATATTGTCCTTCGACAGCCCGGCAGTGTTGCAGCACTGGACCCGTTCAAGGAAGATGTTAAGGTGCGAATGAACAAGATCGGCCTCACGAAATGGCTCATGCAGGTCGTGAATGTTTCGGGTGTCAACCAAGATGGTGCAGAAGCGGAGAAGCAACAAGTCTCTGCTGCCCATTCCGCCGACGAAGACAAAGATATTCTTGGATACGATGCGCTTGAGCTGGACTATTCCGTTCCGTTCCCTCTGTCACTGGTCATTAGCCGCAAAACCGTTCTGCGATACCAACTTATTTTCCGCCATCTTCTATCGCTGCGCCATCTTGAGACGTTGCTAGTCACGTCTTGGGCAGACCAAAACAAGACCATCAGCTGGAGGCATAAATCCTCCGATCGGCGGCTTGAAGTATGGAAACGGCGGGCGTGGAACCTGCGCGCGAAGATGCTGGTGTTTGTTCAGCAGCTTTTGTACTTTTGTACGGCCGAGGTCATTGAGCCCAATTGGGTGGGTCTGATGGATCGTGTCAACAGCGTTCACGCCGATGCGTCGGGGGTTGAGGAAAATGATATGAAGCAGGTTAACCGGACGGTTGATGAGCTGATGCAGGATCATGTTGACTTCTTGGATACATGTTTGAAGGAGTGCATGCTCACACAGGCTAAACTGTTGAAAGTACGTTTTTCCACACTAGGAATGATATTCATACTAATGACTATGTAGATCCATTCGAAACTTGTGACTTGCTGCACCATGTTTGCTTCCTGGACTGCGGCATCACTTTCACGCGCCTTGGCATCAGCCGATCCTGACTTGGCTGGAGGCAAAGTCCCTGGTGCAGATGCCAGAGGATATGATCCGACGCGGATTGGAAAACTCGAGGACACACTGAAACGATACGAGGACCATTTCTCGCGCCACCTCCGCATTTTGATGGACAGGTGAGTAACACCCTTGGACATTCATATTACTCGGTTATGTGTTCTAACATGACTATACAGCTTGAACTACTTCGCCGCAACGGAGAGTGTAGTGCTTCTGAAGCTTGCACACTCCCTGACCTCTATCAGCCGAGAGGAGAGCAAAGAGGATTGAAAGCTTGCAATCCCTTGCTCTGTATCTTTTACACCTTGATATCGTTATCAACATAATCAACCCATGACAGGGATGCGGTCAGGTGCTCTAGCTATAGGCGCAAGAAGCGAAGCGCTTCAGACTCATAATGTTTGCTGGCTGTCACCTGAAACTCCGCGATACCGAGAAATATGACGTAAGTCACGGACTTCGGATTCCATCGACCTCGGGAATGCCGCCGCATGAGTCACCAGAGCCTCCAAAACGGGGTGCAAACGGGGTCCAAACTGGCTATATCGCACTCAATCAAGCCTCATCTGTGAGGCCGTGGGAATCCGCCGAATCAATGTACCTAGATCCATGAACCGAGTCATGCCAGACATCGGGATTAATGATAATACGAGTAGCATAGCGAAATGAAACCCAGATTTACAATGTTCGGTGTACTATGTACGGAGTATAGCCCTACCAAATTCCTGAAAAAGAACCGGAGCACGCGATTCTTCGGGATCGCGTCAGCAAGCGGCTTCTCACGTCAGCCGCGGATTTGGCCCTACAGGGTTTAAAGGTCATTGCTATTTAATTTCAAGTCAATCTCTTGTACATTTATAGAGACCAAACACCCAACAAACCTCCACATCCTGTATACGATCGGCACAAACACCACAAACACCACAAACATGCCAATACCGACCCTCACCTCCGTCCTCCGCATCTCATTCCAACACCCCAACACACCCCCAAACCGCCTAACCCTAGCCCTCAGCGCCGCAGCGCTCCTCGTCTCGACCCTCATCCTCCCCGCCGCCTACCGCGATTACAAGATCTTTAAATCCTACGGACCCGGCGGGCTACCGAACAATGCGCTAGGGTGGATTGTCGTGCGGGTGCTATTCCAACCCTTCGGGCGCGAGATGCTCAGCACGGACGAGTACGTGCAGCGGGTTGCGGCAGCTGAGGGCCACGGGAAGGGCGACGAAGGGTTCTTGTTTTTATCCGAGGAGCAGTTGGGGAGTCGACATGGGGAAGAACGACCTGTTGTTGGACCGCATGTTGCACCGCAGAGACAGTTGACGCAGGTGCCGGACGAGACTGTTATGGAGGTATGTTATGTGTCGTGTGTCCGTTTTCCGGTCCTCTTGAGGTGTTGGGAAGAGAAGGCGGGGAGTCAACCTTGGAAGAGCTATTTGCTTATTATGTTCTTTTGTGATAGAAATTCCGCTCTGCGTTTAGTACCTTCGGACATCAGAACCATCACCTTGTGAAATTCCAGAGGTCGAATCTGGAACGGCATGCTGATGGGCTCTTTGTCGCGGATCATATTCCTGTCTTTGGGATTGCGAAGACTATGAACCGTGAGATTGCGCATATTCATTCTGGAAATGACCACTCGGTTCATGTGGTTCTTGCGCCGGCTGATTGTATGGTTTTCTCTTCTTTGTTTGATGCTCGTGGGTTAACATATCTGTCTAGGTATCAAGGTTATCGAGGCTGGTTGGGGTCAGCGCCATGCTTTCTCAGGTACATCTGCGATGACGTACCTTTCGCTTGGTACGAGGCCTGATATCCCAGCGGAGTATATTTTGATCTATGCACCGCGGACGGAGGCGGAAATTCAGACGGTTATGCAGATTATCTCGGCGGGTGTCGAGTTTATGACGGGGAGAGAGGATGTGTGGTAGGTTAATGAGTGCTTTTTGCACTGACCTTATGCCTGAAAGGGTACTAGTGGTGTTCTGAGGTGGATGCATTCTTCTGGTATATGCGTTGTGCTTGGTTTCTTCCTGTTTTCTTAACTTTATATACCACACTCTTCGATTTAATTACTGTTTATATGAGCATATATGGCAGCAATAATGCGGCAAATAAGGCTTATACTTGCGCTATTGAGACTTTATACCGCATTGGACCATAGAGAATATCCATGACATCTGTTGTTAATATTGTAGGTAAGAAGTAATGCCTCACTTCCAAGGTTCTCTATATATATATGCTCCCTCGAGCTGCCTTTCTAGTTTCTTCTGCTATATTGTACGTAACATATCCTGTCTCGTGGTCCTACTCTTAATTCATCACTTTGATTACTTGCTGTATACAATTTCTCCACGTACATCGTGCAAGTAAAAACGGTGAGCCTTATATCCCCACCTATCCACTTCTATAAACTAGCAGATAACTATGAAAGGCTTCTTCGATAATAGTTATGCTCAAACCCAACTAATTTCTAGTGGAAATGCCCTAGGTTGGCTCTATAGATATGAAATTAAGACACTATCATCTACTAGTGTCAGTTAGGCCGAGCACGTAGTAAAAGTGCCTTTTGTAAGAACCCACCCGCAACAGCCTAAAGAGTATTACGATGTGAGAAGAGGGAGAAAGATTAGTTCATCAATAGATATTCTAGAGTTCTGGTGGATATTCATTTGTCATATTGTCATCTCCATAGATCTATTAGGCATAATATATATACTAGTCCAATAGTGGGTTTCAAATTATATAGGTCAATACATCTATACCTGGAATCTGCTGACCATGAAATATTGATAGCAGTGTTTAATATTTTTTTTCTCTTCTGTGCTACTAGTACCTTAGGTAGTACCAGTAGTTACCACTACGGAGTACACCTACGTAAGTGTATCTAGCGCGATTCCACATATATCACTAGCGGGACCGAGGGAATGGTCAAATGCATATTAAGTAGACAAAAAAAAAAGTCACATATTCACCAAGTAGGCGAGAATACGAATGATCGTTATCCTTTGTTTCATCTTACAACGTAACATTGTAAAGGACATGGCTTGGCAGGAAGTCATCACGCCCGATTTGGAAGGCGAACCAGTGTGTTGGGGCTATGAATGAAAACGCTAATTAAGGGGGAATCTTTTTTTTTTTTATAAATTTTTTTTTTTTTTAAGATTTCCCGTTATGTATGTCCAGATTTGGATTCCAACTTCTTTTTTTAGTGATTAAATAGGAGAGACCTTTGAAATACCTGGAAGAACGATATCAACTCCCCCAGATTGAAGACCAAAAAGTTGGGTAGGCGGCCCCCTTTACGGCAGCCTATTTGGACCATTTTTGACAACGGGCTTTCTGCCATGCAGAAAATCAGTAATTGGCGCTAATGGAACAATACAATACTAGAAAATTACATAGTACAATTTCTATCAACTTTAGTTATTCGGCTTGCTTGGTCTATCCTAAACGGCCCCGTGGGACTAGGAGGGTATTAAAGTAGTAAATAAAGCTTTTTATCTATATATAAATAGTAGTATGTTTATATTTTTAGACGGTTTTGTTAAGGCCCCTATAGAGTTGTAGGCTAAAACGTAGGGAGGGAGAGAGTTAAGTGGAAGGCGAGGGGTTGATGCCTAAGGAATAAATATAGCGGCCTAAGGTATTAAGTTAGGATATTGTTAAAATAACCCCCTAACTGAAAACCGGTTACCGCCTTCCCGATCGAGTACGATACTAGATTCTAAGGTTAGTGCCTAATTCAACCTACCGCTCTTTATACCGCCTTTCTAATCTAGTACGATACTAGATTCTAAGGTTAGTGCCTAATTCAACCTACCGCTCTTTATACCGCCTTCCTAATCTAGTACGATACTAGATTCTAAGGTTACGTAGTGCCTAATTATACCTACCCTCTCTATACCGCCTTCCCGATTTAGTACGTACGATACTAGATTCTAAGGTTAGTACTTAATTCTGCCTATAGCTCTCTATACCGCCTTTACGATTTCATAAAGACGGTAGGTACCTACAATTTATAGATAAACTACTAATAAAATCAAGTTATATATATCTAAGAAGTATAATTATTAGTATATAGAGTATTATAGTAGTAATTAGGTAGAAATATACGATTTTTCTGATTAAAACATAGTATTTTTCACTATATAAACTAGAATTAAATCAAAAATAGAAAGAAATGTGGGTTCAGAATAGGCGGAATGTATTATGTTGTACGGTACAAAAGGCGGAAACTCTAGCGGTGAATCTTATATATGTATTAATAAGCGTTGTCAAAAATGGTCCAAATAGGCTGCCGTACCCCTTACCCGAGAGATGAACCATGGCGCTGGGTGAGCCAACGGCGGAGCCGGACGGGTAGGCCCTGTCGAAATCCCGACACTATGGAACTTCGTATATTGTACTTGTATGTTGTACTTTGTAGGTTGGTTTTCTTTTGCTTCTTCTCTCTTTTGCTTCCGACTGAAGAGTTTTTTTTTTTTTTTTGACGGTATGTGAACTTAAAACAGTGGTCGGACCACATATTCTTCTAAAATGGACATCGGTTACAAGCGTAACCAGAAAGGAAGTAACCTGCATGTTTTGACATATCCCCACTGTATGATCATCACCTATTAACTGTTATGTGTGAAGTGGCTCTATGCACCAGTCTTGGGCATCTGCACCCTGCAACCGCAACCGCAAGTACCAGATCCTTGCATTTGGCATGGATTGCCGGTGCGGTCATGATGTGGGACCCGATCATCTCGGAGAATTGACCCAGGATGAAGAAAAACCAGGAGTGCCTACCTAGAACGTATCAGGTGAGTTGAGAATAATTTCAAAGGTGTTTTCTCAGTGGATTCGGACACCGGAGTGGATACTGCCCACATTTTTGTATGTTGTAATAATGTACTCGCATACTCTGGAGCTTCCCCCCGAGGCAATGAATGTCCACATCCACATCCACACGGGATGGATATCTATGCCGCTAGCCAGCACTCGCCCCAATAGCAAGTACCATGCAACCAAGGTAATCCCTATAAGGCAAACTTGATAAATATCTAGAAAAAGAAGAGGGGCGAAACGGCAATGTCAGTCCATTGCCTCGGAGGTACTTCTGTCAGATTGTTTCGGGAGCGATCCGGAGACGGCTAAAAATCCCTGTAGCAAATCTCCATGTCCGCCAATTGCGCCAATGAAGTTGGAATCTTGGAACAAAACTGTCCAGACAAGCGGTGAGAGCGCGAGCGAAACAAGAGGGGCAAGAACGAAATCCACTGTCCTAAATCCAACCCACCAGAAATCCCGAGGGAATGGATGCTCCAACGAGGAATTTGCTGATCCTGCCCGTCGAACCCCACTCAAGTTGAGGGGCCATTGGAGCCATTTTGGTCGTGAGATCAGGACTGAATAAGCCACTTGGCACCCACAGTACTGCACATTGGCCCGAGGACACGGCCTTACTCCACGGCGTGGGCGAGAGGGTGTTGGAAATTTGTCGCCAAGCTGTTTCGTCCAATGTTGGTTAGTTTTTGGTTTTATTCCTTCATTAAAGTGACAGCGGGAACCGGCGGTGATCCCTTGTCATGCCTCTGGAATCGGCAATGCAGCGGCTCGATTGGCCTG